TTGGTGTGTGTTGTGCAGCACTGAGGAGACTCTTGGTGTGTGTTGTGCAGCACTGAGGAGACTCTTGGTGTGCTTTGCCTGCAGCTCAGGCCAGCAGCTCCCCCCTCCTCCCCAGCGCTGTGATTTGTATTCATGAGGCTCTATTTCATAATGTCAGATGGGAAATCAGAAGTAAAAGGAGCAGAAAGTAAACATGAATATTAACAAAAGGAGAGCAGAGGTGAGATGCTTGGTGATGACTGCCTTTCCAGGGGTTGTTATGTATGCATGTTCAGACTGATTTGCTCCACAGAGGGTAAAGACTCTTTTGGTTTCAATTACCATGCAGTGGCTCAAAGCTTTTCTAATGAGAACTGAAGTCAGAAAATTGTTTTCTTCATTTCAATGCAAAACTTTGCATTCAAGACATATTGCTGCTTTAATTTTCCCTGCTAAGTACAAGAGTTTTATGTGTAGTGCAAACTGCAGCCTTGGGAAGCAAGTGCTGAGAAACTGGTCTCAAGTGAAGCCCTCTGGGTGATGCTCAGAGCTCCCTAAGCTGGCTCTGGCAGCCATCAACATCCTGTTCCCCACAGCCAAACTTCTGCTGCTCTGCTGAGCCTGGGACAGGATGCAAGGACAGCCTGCAGCTAGTGGAGAGTTCAAAGCATCCTAGAATCATAGAACTGTGGAGTGTGTAGGCTTGGAAGGGACTTTTAAAGGTCATCTAGTCTGGCCCCTCTGCAGTGCACAAGAGACCTTTTTAACTAGATCAGGTTGCTCAGAGCCCCATCAAGCCTGACCTTGAATGTCTCCAGGGATGGGGCCTCCATCACCCTTCTGGGCAACCTGTTCCAGTGCTTCACCACCCTCATGGTAAAGAACTTCTTCCTGATACACAATATGAATCTGCCCTGCTCCGGTTTTCATCCATTCCCCCTTGTCCTCTCCCTCCCTGCCCTTGTCCCAAGCCCCTCCCCAGCTTTCCTGGAGCCCCTTCAGGCACTGGAAGGTGCTCTAAGGTCTCCCTGGAGCCTTCTCTTCTCCAGGCTGAACACCCCAACTCTCCCAGCCTGTCTCCAGAGCAGAGCTGCTCCAGCTCCCAGATCGTCTTCGTGGCCCTTCTCTGGGCTCTCTCCAGGAGATCTGCAGAGATTTCTCTGCAGGGTTTATTTAGCAGGCTTACATGGAAACGCTGTGGAACGGGCCAAAAAAATACCTCAAAACCTGTAAACAGAGGCAAGCGATGAACTGAGGGAACGGCTCCTTCAGGAGGGTGTTTTGTGAGTCCTGAACATACCCACAGTGCATCACTGTGGTGATGAGGAACTCACATCAGGGACTTACCTGCTGGGAGGGTGTACCTGATCCAAGAGACCTACTGTATTTTCACCCCTGTTCATCATCTGTGAATCTCATTGGAATGTAACTGTTGAATTGCCCTGTAGGGGTGTCCACTTGGTGTTAGGAGCAGGCCTCTCCCAAGTGTTGGTTGGTGAATGGAAAATAAGAAAACCCTTCTTGCCTGTGAGGGTCCCAGAGCCCTGGGCCAGGCTGCCCAGGGAGGCTGTGGAGTCTCCATCCCTGCAGACATTCCAGCCCCACCTGGCTGTGTTCCTGTGGGATCTGCTCTAGGGGATCCTGCTCTGGCAGGGGTTGGACTGGGTGATCTCCAGAGCTCCCTGCCAACCCCACCACTCTGTGGTTCTGTGAAACAGGCTGCTGCTTAGTAAGGAGCCTGGGACCAAAAGTGTGAAGTTTGAGAAGCTATTCAAAAGCTTTGCCATCTAACAGGAGCTCAGGTCTGATCTCTGCCACAAAAGGAGCATTTATGTGGTGCCCCTATAGTATAAACTAAATAAAAGCTGAATCTCTTTCTGTTTTTCCTTCTGTTTTTTTGTTTTTGTTTTTTTTTTTTTTTTAAAGTGAAACTGCATTTTTAAGTCACTGGAGCTTTGTCTTTCTATTTCTTGTGTTTATTGATACATTATGGAGTTGGTGGGAGGGCATTTTGTCATCTTTCAGATTTTAAGAACCTGATGGTAAGCCACAGTGGCAGTTGGGTGCTGCACTCTGCAGAGAAAGAACCTCATTTATGTGGTTAATTACAGGGATTTTTTTTCACTTTTCTTCCCTGTCAGCTCTGTGAAGGGGGAATTCTTGCTGAGCTAGTGCCACAATGGCCACCCTGCCATTCCCCTCCTTAACGAGCTGCTTGTCACACAAATTCAGATTAACTGGCTACAGATGTTTAGGTGTCCGAGTTGGTTTTATTTTTTTGGTTGATTTCCCCCCCCCCACTCCCAATGATTGTCAGTCCTCATTTTCATCTCAGCCCTCAAGCCTGTTGGAACAGCAACGTTCCTGTAATTGCAAACCTTGACCAGCCCTGTGAAACTGACTCATTCATAGAATCACAGAATGGGTTGGGTTGGAAGGGACCTTCAAGACCATCCAGTCCCACCCCCTGCATGGGCAGGGACCCCTCCCACCAGCCCAGGCTGCTCCAAGCCCCATCCAACCTGCCCTTCAACACTGCCAGGGATGGGGCAGCCACAGCTTCCCTGGGCAACCTGGGCCAGCATCTCACCATCCTCACAGGAAAGAACTTTTTCCTAATGTCCAACCTGAATCTCCTCTCTCAAAGCTTCAGGCCATTGCTCCTTGTCCTCTCACTATACACCTATGGAAGAAGCTCTACCCCAGCTTTCTTGTAGGGCCCCTTCAGGTATTGAAAAGTTGCTACAAGGTCACCATGGAGTGTCTTCTTCTCCAGGCTGAACAACCCCAACTTCCTCAGCCTGTCTTCCTAGGGGAAGTGCTCCAGCCCTCTGATCATCCTTGTGGCCTCCTCTGGACATACTCGAGGAATTCTGTGTCCTTATGCTGGGGACTGCAGTACTGGACACAGTACTCCAGGTGGAGTCTGGAAGATGACAGGCATTTCTGTCCTAGCGTGCACCTGCCCTGCTGTTAGCTCCTGTGGGAGCTGTGGGTCAGGGGCAGCAGCTGCTGTAGAGCTTGCTCACCAGCCCT